AAGTTTCGTGATATGCTTATTGTTTTTTTTTTTTTTTATAAATTACTTGGCTAGTCTTAAGACCAATTGACAGTCTGTGGTGTGTTTTTTTTATTACATGACAAACGAAAATCTGTTTTTTAATGACTCACCAAACATTATTTTTTTATTTTAATAACAAATGTTATAAAATATTATAACGAAACGATATCGAATTCGCTTAACACAAATAATGCATATCTACGCGTAAATAGCGAGTAATGTAGGCTAATGCGAAAAATTAACTGAAAAACTAATTGATTTCATTGCACTGCCTGGTTGGAGAATTTTCTTTAAACATATCACTCGGAGATGAAAATATATAAATACGGCCAACTACACTATAATATAATTAAAGGCGTGGACGTGTGGTGATATATTATATGAATAATAATAATTTATTTTTCAGGACAATGATATTATTGCAGGTGTAGGCAGCCGTATTATAGGTATCTACGTGTATAGACATTGAGTAATAGACACCTTTGTTATTAGCATATTAATTGCTCGTCGGTATTGCGTTATCATTTTATTATACATATTATATGTAAGATGTAAGATTATAAAATTACAATAAATGTTTATTATTTAAGAACGGTTGAATATAGTTTTTTTTCGCTATCTATTCTGTCATTTTTCTCTTACGCCATCGTATATTTATACACATTATATTTACGTCGATTACGAACAATGTTTAGCACGGCCAGACGTTCAGCGTTAATCTTTAATAATATCAAATCAATATTAATCCACAGTACCTCTATAAATACATGTGGAATGCTTTATTTTTTTTAAGATTTTTGAAATAAACTAATAATATCTTATAAAACTATTATATTATTATATAGTATAAATATTAAAATGTTAAAAAAAACTGTTAAAGTTAGTCAAAAAATACTATCTTTTAGGACTTTTATGCACAAAAATATCAACAAATATGCACTTATACATCAAAAAATAAAAATATGCAGTTAAAAATTTCAATTATTTTTCTTTATATATTTTTTTTAATACAATATTATTATTTATTAAGTTTGTGCATCAGCTAAACATGGTCTAAAAAAAATGTACAAGCTTTAAATATTTTAATTATTTTATTTTATTCAATTTATTATGTATACATAAATGTATATGAAAAAAACAATACTTCTGCTAAAACAGATCTTATTCTTCATTCAAATATAATATAATTATACTTGACCTTAATTCATGAAAAATATTTACCAAGATTATTGAATTTTGATAAACAATTAAAATGTGCACTATAAAATTAAATGCCCTAATAATCAAAAATATGTCTTTCAAACACGAAAATGTCAAAATATGCACTAACATTTTGAGTATTTGATAACAAACTCTGTAAAATGTATTTTGTACTTACTGTGCATTCGATAAAATTAACTAGAAAAAATATGGAAATAAATTAATGTCCTTGCCGATTATAATAATTTTGTATACAATATACCTGCATTTTATTATAAATATTGTAGGAATATCAAATATTTCATAAAGACACAATATTTATGAGAATATAAAGTAAAAAAATTATTATTATTGTAACTATCATATTATTTATCATTACCTATTATCAATATTTTGATATTAAAAATAATATGTTCTTTTTGATAGATGGTCAATAATATGATCAAAGTAAAATAATACTACCTATTTGTTTGCAATTTAAGCTATATTTTCTGACCTCCCAGTGTCTTGTATTCTTCCGGTATGATAGTATGTATTGTACAAATAAATTAAAATGATTATAATGAGTTTTTATTGCCTATTCATTTATTTTAAGTATCTTCATATTAAATTTATCATCTACAAAATACAATATTATGTTGTATAGTATTTGATATAGCTTTTTATAACTGATGTTAAATTTAAGAAGAAGTCAATGTCATGTTAAATCGGTAAACTGATGTAGTAATAAATAACAATACACTACCGATAAAATGCGTTCCTATATTGCACTAGGCTATGTGGCAAATTGTCAATTATTTCATTTCGACTTCCGTATGTTGTGTCAGTCTTCGCTCTTCAGTCTTTAGTTAATATCACATTATATTATTTACAACAATATTATGTATTATGTCACTTACTTTACTCATCGTAATAGAAAATTCTGACCATAATGATTATGATACGTATTATGTATACCTATTGCATTATCTGAAGTTATCAAGCTACAGTAAACACCATTTGAACGCATTACTAGATGGTACTCTCGGGTTTCTGCGCCACCAGTCCTAAAACCCCAAAAATTATTTTGATTAGTTATTTTTGAATTAAAATGTCTAAAAATTGTCTAAATTGCCTAAAATTAATGTAGGAAATGATACTAAGTTTTTTAAAATAAATAAATAAGGTGACATGCTTTTTTTTATATACAAACTGAATGTACACAACTAAATTAACTGTCATTCAAATTTATTTTTAAGTGGCAAACTACTTTGGAATTTTGAGTTTCGTGTCTTATTAGTTACTACTAGTATAGCAGGCACATTTATTAGGCTTTCACTTAATTTTTTTAATCCATCTGGGGATGGACAACCCACCTTACAGCAGAAAAGTCTAATGTGTGAAAAATGAAACAACACAAAAAGTTTGCTAACGAATATATTATTGTATTTTAAAATACTTAACGATACCGAAGAATAGAATTCTGGATGTCACAGTAGTTATAAAAATAAGTGAAATTAAAAATTAAACAACAATTAATGTATGTCATAATATACATTGTACATTAGTTTTAAAAAGCAACTTAAGGTAAAAAAATTAATAGTATCTAGTAAATCTCGCAGAGAATTCGTCTTAATGTTCAAGTTGGCGGATACGAATCAAATAAAGTTTAAACTTCTAAAGGTTATTGTTATTTTGGTCATCAATAATAATTTCCAGCATACTTTAACAGCTCGATTTACTAAGAAACTCATATCATATTCACAACCTTCTTTTTATTTTCTCTTTGCTATACCTACAACAAATGATTCTCTTTGGTCGTTCTTCACTCACACAACGTGTCACGTAAACTTAACCTTTCAGTTGTTACCATAATAAATAAATGACTACAACTATAATCAATATTTTGAACACTTCCAACAAATTTAAGAAAACCTAAACAAATGATCGAAAATGTAAATATTTACAAAAATGTACTTAAATTATCTAACCCGTAGAAAGTACTTATAATAATAAAATATTGCACACTTATACCCGAGTTATTATTATTTAATTCATTTTTTTCTCTTCATTACGAGCTACAACGGTAGGTATTTCACTAATCATACGTAACTTTGAAAAATCATATTTGGGCCGACGGCAGATATCATATAGATCATAAATAACGATGTAATAATGTCGTTGCTCATCATGGAGTATCAACGTGTCGATTTTTGTCGCGTACATACTATATAGCTTCTCGGGAACAATATTATAATTCATAGTATTTAATCAATGTCAATGTCTCGTCACCGCCGAATAATTAATAAAAGAGACGATATAATATTATAACAAATCATTACATAATATTATATTGTATTGACTTTGGCATAATTTCTATTCGTCGCATAACAATAATGCGAGCGGGCAATAATTTCGTGTGCCTCATTATAAATTTATAAATATCAGTGGCGGCATCGGCGACACGTTTGACGCACGTGCGTCGATCCTAGATCGAACGTGTGTAAACAGTGATCGATATATTTTTCCGAACAAATATTATACAAATCATTTATATTGTACAATAATAACATTACACACGCACACATCAGGTACCTATATCGTACATTATAATATACGACTGCGTCGGACGCGGCGCTATTTTATTGACACGGTTTTGTTTGCCTCTGATAACGCGGTCGTGTCAGATAAGAGGAATCGGTTATATTATACATTATTTTTTTCATTTTTTATGAACGTGAAAAATCGTCAGATCGCGCACGAAATCGTCGTCGTCGTGCAGACGCGTACAAATACAACAACTCGCGAGGCCGACTCGACGGGTATCCGTAACGCAAACAGTAATAATCGTCATTATTATTATTATTATTATTATTATTGGTTTTTTCTTCGTTTCACCAACAATATAATATACAATAAAATATAATATCACTCTCGTACGAGTCGAATAACAATATCATCGTAGGTATCTACATCGTTTCTCTATATTATAATTTTTATCTACAATATATAGGCACAAGGCACATATAAATATATATATCATAACATAATAATATGTTACCGTGTGTGTGCGTGTGTATGTGTACAAACCGATCGATAAAAAGGCGTGCAGATTTGTCAACAAGGCGAGGCCGTGTCGCTCTTCTCTATGATATAGTATATTACACTATTATAATATGGTAATATTTTAATGATAATAATAATAATTATTATTATTATTATTAAAATATGCTCTATTTAGTTCGGTTATTGCGTCACACTGTTATCATCGTCGTAATGTATTTCGTCTGCCGCCAGAGTCGATGTGAAAATTCAATGCGCGAGACGTCGATTATGTCATATATCATTGTGATTATCGATACCGCTGATCGAAGCACTCTGCAGCTACGACGTTCGATCGTCGCACATAGTTATAATATTATTGTTGATATTGTACCAAAAACGTGGTTTCTATACCACTACCGCGTTTTCGGTAACCCCAGTGCCACTCTAACTTTCATTTCCCATCCACGGCTTTTGTTAGGTTTTGACGTCCTGGAGCACTTGCCCCCTTGCAGTTAGCGTGGATCTGGATGACTCGTGGTATATGCACAGATCTGCTGCTGAACACATTGTGGACAATTCATTTATTCCCGAGAGAGTTAAGCTCCTCCCTAATCTCACTAGATCCTGCACTCAACGGACCGATGAGTATCCGTAGGTTCCTGATCTTCGAATCGAACATATTTCAGAACAAAATCTACGATTTCGTTTTTTTTGTGGGGACATATTATAGTCGAAATAAAGAACAACACGATTCGTATATTATATATATCGTAACAATTATTTATTTATCTATATAATGATCGAGTAAATTTTGTCATACATTCGTATTTTTTTCGCATTTCGAATAACGTTATTCAACAAACATAAGTGTTTTCAATTTTATCAATGTACAACTTAAATATTACAAAAATTACAATATGCAACCCGTCGGCGCGTATATAACGTTCTAACAATAAAAATATATAAACAAATAAAATACACGTAATGACTAGTCTTTTGTTTCTTTAAACTCTTATTAAAGTAATACAATAATAATAATAAATAAATAAATAATAATATAATATAATGATAATAATACAATTAGCCTAAATTTTTTTTTAAATTTTTTTACAAATGGACATTTTATACATTTTTTCGTTGTTTCCGAATAATTGTATTTATACATACGTACGCTATGCTCTACTGTATTTTCAATCGACAAAATATCGTTAATAATAATATTAATAATAACGTTATTCGTAAGTATTTATTTTAACAAAACGAGGGAGGGGGACACAGTCGTAGCGCGTGATCGTAGCTAACTTTCGAATGAACCGCACTAACTATAGGGACCGAAAAAATCTATTTAAACACATTAATGCCACATATATTATTATAATTATTATAATTATTATTATTATTATAGTTGAGGTATCATATGTACATATGTTGTGTTTAATATAATATACACAGGACAATGTATTTAGTAAATCAGATTTGTTTTGTTTTATTCTCATTCTCGTCCGATTTCGAGAAGTCCTATGGTTTTCCTACTCAAACGCCCTGTATGCATGTGCCTAAATAAACAAATCGAGAATTCGCTGCGGTCATGGTACGTCACGTGTATAGTAGTAATATTTTCGGGCAATCGAAGTCTCGATTATAATATATCACAATAACAATGTGGATGTGATATCCACACGCGAACGAGAATAATATCATATCATATTATAATATAATTTAGACATCGATCACCTTTTCGATGGGTAGGTATCGTATCGTCACCCGTCACTCGGCCAACCCCAAAAGTTCAGGTATTCGAATATTTTACACACAATAATATAAAATGTTGTGATAAAATATAAAACGGCGGTCGGAAGATGTACATTTTTTTTGACAGGTACCTAGGTTGTATATAATATAACCTATACATACTATATTATGCGCTGTACACACATAGCAATAATGTATTGATTATACGATACACATAATTATTATTACGTAGGAAGACAATACTGGCCGTCGCGATGACCACATACTATATGTTGTATACCGCGGTCGTGGTTTACATCAAACTACCACCACGTTCTGGGCGTCTGACCGTGCATCAGCGGATGCGAGTACGAAGGCAGCACCATCTGTTCGGCCTTGCCGCCGGCGCCGGGCTGCTGGTTGGTGCATGGCTTGCCGTCCCGGACCAGCACGGGCACGGCGACCCGCCTCGGCGAGGACAGAGCGTTGGCCGCGGCTGCCGCGTGATGTTCCACGTGCATGCCCTTCTCCTGTTGCGCCCGTTTCGTCTTGTACCTGTGGTTCTGGAACCAGATTTTCACCTGGAACAATGTGAAAAACAAGGAAAAGTCAGTCCGGCTGTTGTGAGACGAGCAGAGTGGCTGGTGACAGCTATATTATGCGTATATTATCGTATATAGGGGTGGTTAGGAAACCTCTTGCCCGGGAACTATATATGGACGGGTCAGTAGACGTTGTACTTGTATGATAAACATTATTTTAGTTTTATTTTATTTCCATCTATAACAACAATTTTACAGCTCGATTACAACTCTGTATAGGATATCTACGTATATGATATATATATATATATCGCTGAGTCGAGTACTAACTCTATAGCGTATAGCTATTATTATGCAATGCTAGAGCAGCGGATATAAGCACAGGGAATAATATATAATATGCTCGAGGTTAGAGCGGCAGCAACCTTGATGTAACCGTTGGATGGAGTTATCAAAATTATGCTGATGATATAGAAGGCCGTTTTCGAATAAAAATCTCAAAACGATAGGGTGTGGGCCCGTTTACGACTAGTTCGGTGTTACCCTTTGCTATTCGACACCCCTTATTGTTTTCACAACGACGTACGAAAATCACCGTTAACATGTGACTTTTGTCACACACGCACATATACTATACATCGAGTAGAATTTTTCAGCGTGTAACATAACCAATTATTTTCCCAATTTTTTGGTAGTTTTACTAAAAACAGAACGAATTTAAAGCCATTTTATGTATCATGAAATATGCAATATGCGGTCTGTGCGAGTGGGACCAGTTTTCGATATTTTATAATAATATTGTTGTGAGGAAATAGCATAATATTACACAACACGTTACGTTACTTAAACTATTTTGTAAATCGTTCTAGACTTAAAAATAGAGAGCACCATCCCCCGATTCATATGATTAAAACTACAAGGGATTAAATCACACACCTACGTTTGGCACTCATTTTAAACGGCTCATGGAACAGCTGAATGGCCTTACTGTGAATGGTTTTACTAATAACAGATCGAGGACTTTAATGCACAGAAAATTCATAAAATATGCACTACTATGCATGATGCATCAAACAATTCAAAGTGTTTGATTTAACATTTGCTAAAAAAATCGCAAATATAAATAGGTAGTATTTTACTACCAAAAACGTATTAATTAGTAAAATATAGTATTTTACTATATCCGTAGTACTAAACAATAATAGACATAATAAGTGATTTAATAATATTTTTGGTGCTCAATAATATTGTAATCTAAACTTACCTCTGACCATTAAGGTGATAATTAGTCTCTATAACGAATTTACAGTAAATTTATGAATTATGATTAACGGAAAAAAATTGTCGAAGTGTATGGTTTTCAAAAAACATTCGAAATATGCATTAAAAAATAAAAATATGATATACCTAATTAACAAGAAAAATCATGGAAATGTATGATAGCCCTTTTCCTAACTATACAGTTACCGTAAACTAAAAATGCAAATATGAAGCATAAATTCATAATATTATATTTATATATATAGACGTTTAAAATACTATAATATTATATTACAGAATATTAAAAACAAACCAACCTGAGTGGGAGTCAGCCGGATGATTGATGCCAAGTGTTCGCGTTCAGGAGCTGACAGGTACCGCTGTTGCCGGAACCTGCGCTCCAGCTCGTACGTCTGGGCCTTGCTGAACAGGACACGACGCTTGCGTTTCTTGTGCACCACCCCAGTCCCATTTCCACCGCCGTTAACATCGGATGGGTGACCACCGGCGCCGGACGAACCGGACCGGTCGTGTTCACCACCTGCGGTTCCCGACTCGTCGTCAAAATCATCGTCCATCTCGTCGCCGTCCGCTTCGGACGGTTCGTCCTTGGCGCCGACGCCAGCTCCGGAACCGGGCCGGCCGCCCGCGCCGACATTTGCGTTCGCATTTGAAGTGTCGGCCGCCAGTGCGCTGGGAGTGCTCGACGTGTCCGTCAGGTCAGTCACTCCTGGAGACGTGCTGTCTGGACTGGCTTGCTGGGCCCCGTGATGGTTCATTCCGAATCCTGAAACACAAAAAACGCGACACCGTTAGTTAATATTATAAGCGCATTGTAGTAAGCCCGAAACACATTACTTAGGATCATAATATTATATTATGTGTTATTAATATCAATAATAACTAAAAACAAAACTCTTTTAGTCTAAAGTATACATGAATAGTTTTAATTCAATAAATAACATCTCCTTCATTATTATACTCGGATTAAACTGAATTCTAGTTGAAAAATAATATGCATATGCGTGCAATCCTGCCATTTGCATGCATGTAAAACTTTTAGACAATATTTGAAAAAAGAAATTTCAAAAATCAAGAACATAGAATATTTTTACTTGTAACCCGCGAACTTAGTACATAGAGCTAGATAGGTACTTAATTTCAATATTAAACAATATCAAAGGTAATATATATTTTATTGTTTCCGTTTCCAGCGATGTTTCCTTGCTCTGGGCCTGGCCCACACGCGTTTACACAGCGAATTTGCGTTCTACGGTGTTGTTAGCTTTATCATCAAAGTGAATTGACCTAATGGCTGTATACCATCAAACATTAAGTTGATAACATTATTTACAATTGCACGTTACCTAATTAAGCAATATTTTCAGATGTGATAAATATTGAATATTTGACTGTACGTTATGGTTATTATTTTATAAGTGTTTACTTATATATATTATTTACATTCTGTTCAAGAAACATTTTAACTATAACCATAATGGTTAAGACTGACTGAGAGTTCTTATAAATAATAATTACTCAAAAGGAAAAAAAATTGTAGTAAGATGTAATCCATGAACTGAATTATTTTTGGTCTATCACAGCATAAACCCATAATATGACTCGGCCAAATGACGAATTAAACATATAATTATATAGTCATATAATTTTTGCTCAAACGATAGGTATGTATATAAATGCAAGATTTATAAGGTTCGAAAAAAATCTTTCAGAACTTAATAAACAACGCCGCTAGGTACCTCAAAATACCAGGTTTTCGGCTTTTCAAAACATACATTAAGAGTTTCAGTTTTTTGTGATTGGTTTCGAAAGAACTTCAATTAGTATAATCATTGGTTTTAGAATATATACAAATACATTCTAAAATCAATGACATGATAATAAATTGTATCCATAGTATGTTTCGAAACAATTTAAAGTATTTATACATTTGTAATTTATTTTCATCTCGACTTGTCTCGGCTTTCGCGTGATATAAATCAGATAACCACATAAGTGGTAACTGGTAGTCGTAAGTGTATATATTATGGCGGTGACAATAAGAACAACGCTAGTCGATATATTATTATTAGTATTATTAGTGTATACATCGTAGAAGAGACTGCAGTAGATTACGGTCATCCACCGGTCTCCACTTAACCACGGTGTCGGTTACACCCCGGATCCCCTTTAAAGCCGCCCCTGCAACAGCAGCGTGTGCTGCACTGTCATTCACATACGACGGAAAAGTCGTTAAACACTAATCGTTTACACGCCAGTCGTATTGTCACCGTGATTCCTGTCGCAGCGCATCTGCCCCACGGGGCCACGACCGGTCTCTAATATCATTCTGATAGCATATAGAGGTATGTAATACGCGTATTATTTTGTTATTATTGCTATTATAATACAATCCAGTGTCGATCGTTTTTCTTAAGTTCCTCGTCTCCTCTCGGCTCTCTTTCTCTGTATATTATTATATTGTAATTTTATATGTTACATTATATAATACATATATTATATTATATATAGACGGCGTACGTGTGGTGTAGGGCGAAACAATTGATGTTCCTATATATTATATGACGTGATGCGGTAGCTCGCTTCTACCTATAACAATATACATATATATATATATATATATATATGAACAGCAGACGGGGGCCGCCAGCAACCATTTTGTCCGCTCTTTTGTTACAACATGCATGTACATATTATTATATATATTATATACACGAGACCGTCGTCAGATTATCCGTGTACCTATTGATGTTGTTTAGTTAAAAAAAAAAAGCCCCAAACCGTCCCCCATATTATAAAAACGCGTATTGCGTACATATTATATACTTCCCCGGCGCAGAGATTTTATATATATCATACATATATAATTTTTTCTTCTTTTTGTTCGTCTAAGCCCCCGTGTAATTCGCACAATGGTCACCTTTGAACGGCCGTCGTGTCACGCCCTTTTGTCGCCAAACTCCACCCAGTTTTGTACACACCGCACCATGCACATGTGAGCCGGTCGTCTCTCAGTCACTCCCTCTCCTTCTCTCTCTAGCCCACTCTCTCTCTCGCACACACTTTTCCTCTGTCTCTCGCCCGGGCGCGCGTGTTTAATATTATAATAAAATACATTCATATACACACCTATCCCACACCGATGATATACGCGCGTATTGTATTATGGCATAATGATAGGTATGATGTATGCTATTATCGTGTCGCAGATGTTCGACACGAGTTTTTAAAACGTCATACGAAACGTATTTAGGAGCGGTGGGCGCGCGCTCGCGCTCGCGACGGATTCGCGATCGGCCGGACAATCTGTATAAACTATTGTAGGTACAGCCGCGCGAGTTCACCGCATCATTATTGTGCTCGGAGTAATATAATAATAATAATAATAATAATAATAATAATAATAATAATAATATATTGTATGTTAACAACAACGACAACAACAGTAATGACGCTCATAATAATAACATATGTTATTTGTCAGAAACGCACAAAAGCCAACCGCCGTATAGTTTTCTTCAAATATTGCAATTCGTCTGGTAAGGCTGCGTGCCTTGTACAATATCCGTTCTGACGCTGTGTGACACAACAACGAAAATTCACGCAGTTTTTTTTTTACTACATCTCTGGGTCGAAGACGCGACGGTGACGATTATGATCGTCATTATAATGTTGTAATGCATTATTATTATTATATTATTGTGTGATGCAAGAAGCCTGCTCGTTAGAAAAAGCAGAAAATATAGAATATAATATTTGCAGAATCGCGATGATACGATATCGCTGCTGCAGCTGTTCGCCAATTTTGGACGACAGGCAACGATAAATATCGGAAGGCTAGCTGTCGTTTAATCGGGGGATAATAAAAGGGCAAAGGTTCCGAACTGTCCAAATCGTCCGAGTTATAGCTGGTTTGTTTTTAGACACACGTTAGTAGTATAGCTACTGCGAAACGGTTCCGTTCAAAGACGTGTAGGTAATCTACAAAGAGCAGAGTTAAGGGATGCAATTTATCCCCTGAAATGTTATGAAGTTGGACTTGGGGAAAAGATATGACCGCCCCCCCCCCGCCACTGTTTTAAACTCTAATTTATTGAGTATTACTTTTTTTTTAATCACCATGCTTGAGTTTGAATATTAGTTTTCTTTGTGCGTTTTATTTAGTTACTAATTAGTAATTTGCTATTAAAATAGTATTAATATTGTAATAGGTACACTTGAAGTTTTACTTATTATGATTTGGGTAGTACTAACTTGCTATATCTTCAATAAGAAAACATTTCAAGGACTGCTGTATAACATATAGCTTAAAAGCGACGTGTAGATTTATTATTGGTAAATTATCTGAAGGGTGGAAAAGTCTGGCTCTCTCGACTACTACATTTTTATTCCTACCAGACAAAATTAACCCTAGTTACGCCACTGTGGGTTCCGCCTGTAAAAATATCGTTGGTAACTATTGCCATTTTACATAATACTGGAGTATACGAGTAGATATATAATGCATGGAGTGCTTTGAAGTATGTATAGTATCTAAGTAGTACATAGTATGTTGATTGTAGGTAAATATTCGGTTAAGAAATATTATTCGAACGAAAATCACAATCGTTGATCGTTGTTCAGTCATCCGGGAATCATCATGAAATATTAAGTGTATCATCATTTAATGTATGAAACGGTTTACCGAAACTAGGACGTGGTTTTCCTGCATGTTTATAGGTACGTATTGTAACCTGCGTGTTAATATTTGCATGGAAATGGAGTACGTCTCGGAAAGCTTTATGATAAAATATATTACAATATGTATAATACTGGGGCGTCTGATATTTTATTTTCTCCGAATCCCGGCGAGTATTTCATAGCGAACCGTGGCCGTTTGGAGTTTCGCCCTGTAAAGAGCCACGTTTGATAATAACGGTCGAAAACTAGAGAGCACTACAAGCCACATGTACACAAAGCCCTCTGCGAATATATATTGTGCACACACCCACTCACACACACACACACATACGCGCGTACGTGCAAGTGTATACGTGTATGATATACTTGGGTTTTTAATAAAAACCATTGTCGGCTGCGGCGCGCTAAACGGCAGGGAAAATCCGCTGTAAATCTGTTGCTCGCACCGGGAGGGAGCGCGTTTTAATCCACTTAGAAGCGAACGGGAGCTTTGGCTACACGAGTCTCGCGTATATTATATAATATATATAAGCGCGTATATACTATATACATATATACAAGTATAATACATCCGGGGTGAGCACCGTAGGACGACGACGACGGGGGAGCCTATGCATTTAATTTGTATACACCTCCCCGCACGCCAAACCGTATCGCCGACAAAGCCACCGCCGCCCTTTTCGCGAGCTCTCCACCGGGGCCCCGCGTTGGTATATACAACGGGTTTAAATTTTAACGTCTGTCCGACCGCCATTATTAGGACTCGACGTCGTGTAGATAAATATATATTATAATATACCACTACAGCAGCACTCGGCCTGTTCAATATTATTTTATTATTATTATATCATAATTTCATGTAGGCACATAATAATATTATATAATGCGCGTGTCGAGTGTTGGTGTTTCGTCGTCGGCACTCTGTCTCTGCATTACATGTAGGTTCAAGGAGTATGTATAATAACAATACTATAGGTACCACTCTATATCACAGCAAATCGGATAGATATAATTAAATATGTTACATAGTACTATGTTTATATCGCCATGATAGCTAGGTATGTGGCTAAATATTATATATTGTACTCTAATCGTTTGATGGTCGCAGGTAAAATATGTTGCATGCTTAAACACCAAACACGAAGTAAAAACAAACTAAAATCAATTCTAATTCTACTTGATCGCGGCACACCATACAGTCGCGGATGCCAATACCAAATATATATTTTATTCCGTGTCGGTGACATATATAATTATATTATATACCCAACTCTAACCCTTATGATATTATAAACATTATACTAATTTACTGTGATAAGTGAATATTTGATTTCGTTCTTACCTCTGAGTTCGGTGAGTGACGTGGGCCAGTGGTGTAACAGGTCGGCGGAAGATTGCAGGACGCTGGGGAACTGGAAGCCCGTGCTCACGTTGTGCACATCGGGAGCTGCCGGAAACAAAAAACAAAAAAAAAACGATAAAACGGGTTTCTTCACTCGAGAATCTGTGTACAATAACTGGCTGCCGAAAAGTTTTCTATTTCCCAGGGACTCATAATTTAACGTTATGCCCAGTGATATGGCCGATATGCCTCTACCTATTTTCAAAAAAAATTCCCTATCGACCCCTATATGAATATGATGCGTCTAAAACTAAATATATGTACCATACTTAATTACCCGTGTAACATGAATCTAAAATTATGTATTTTGTTAAGGAAAAAATATTTTTTTTCTCTTTGTATAATATATTAGGTATATATACCATTCAGAATATTTGTAAACTAAGATAACCCTGGGCCACTACACGAGTTTTTGCCAGTGAGGCCCAATAACCTTTTTGATATTAATTTAAATAAAAATACACGTGACGTTCGACTAAGTCGCGATATATCCGATACGAGATCGATAGTAATATACAATTTTAAACACTATTGTATAAGTTGTATATTTTTAAATTCTTACCGTTGATATGGGAACTCAGTGTCGTGTTGGTGTTGTCGGTGGAGTTCACTTTGCCGTCGTTTAAGTCTAGTATGTCGCATATGTGAAAACCGGACGGTCGCGTTTGACTGCTTGGCATTTTTATACTGTCCAAAAGTCTGCAATTCACACAAAAAAAAAACAGTCAAATAAACTTCACCATAACAATCACTTATAATACAAATATCACTATTTCTCAAAGAACTAGCCATATTATCGCCTTCATATAATATGCATAATAGGCATAATAGGTTATTACGGAGTAAGCTTTTTCATTACCTCGTGTGCTGGGAACATATATATTCGAGAAGGACGAGGACATAATGTTATAAACTTTAAGTCCCGAAATAACACTTTTAGGAATGAAAATAACAACATTGAAACGTACGACCAATGTTTATGGCTTAATCATATGTGACAAGATTTATGAAATTATATCCTTTTTAATAAACACGTCTTTATAAAAATATGTTTTTATTTTTTAGCACAACATTTTTTTTTTGAAAATCCTTTTATTTTCTAGTTAAAATAAGAAGCACCGATAATACAAATTGTTATAATAAATATTTTTGAGGTAATAGAATGCGCATTTATTTATGTGCATTTATATTTTTGGGGGGTACGCATTTTTATCGACCTCTTACCCTGAGTTTAAAGTCTGCTGCACACAGCTATATGCATTAATGTACTTTTTTTCGGACAATTATACCTGAGAGTAACATTCGACTTCAAACTTACTTTTCACAAACATACCACAACCATAATCTACAACTAAACAAAAAGAATCCACAATGCAGTAGGTACTCAACTCGTAGAGTCACCTAGCAACTATACATGGCCACTTAAAAGTCCCGGCCTATAAATCGCGGATCAAAACTATTTCGTCTTTCCTCTATACAAAGAATCCAGGCGTATAGAACTCGAAAAACGACTGGTCCGTGTGGGCACGAAACGGTTGCCCGATATTAGAGTTATACCATATAGATGGCCTACCTCAATTTTCTTGTAAAGTGTAAAGTAGCGAGGGTCGAGTAAGACAACCTTTGTTTGACGGATACGAAAGCAATGTATTCATTATGAATGCGTCCCGAGCACCTCACTCTAAATCACTCGACATATCAATATATTATTAGGTATGTACACTTATACCTAGGTATGCACCACCTAGTATATAATATATAGGCACTCACACTCGACTTTCGCCCACGCGTGATTCCCAAAAACAATAATATACATACGAGTACACTATAGTGTATTTAAATCGCGGTGGCTGTGAGTTGTATACAATCGAACCGCGAGTGATACATCAAAGAGCATATAATAAAAGTACGTGTGTGTGCGTGCGTGCGTGTGTAAGTACCCTTCTGTTCCGATGACACCGGGTAATTTCGGTCGTTGGAAAATCCTCGGGAATTCCAATCGAGCACGTTCTTCCTGTGTGCCTTCCCTCCACTACTCCGCATCCGACGGTGAAGTGGAAACGACACCTGTTGTGATTATATATTATTATTGTACGCCGCCTTATACACCCACACACTCGAAACTGCGTGTACAAAGTATTATAATATTATTATGTGTGTCCGTGCAACGAGACGGTGCATGACGTTGACGTATAAAATATACGTAGGTATCCGTGGCTCTCGCCAAAAGCTTCTCCGAAATGCTATATTATACAAGAATAATATACGCGCACAAGGTCTAAATTCCTAAACGTGGATGTCGAACGACGGGTTTTCAGAGTATACATATAAATACGACGATAAATTGAAACAAAAATCAAGTTTTTCATGGCATAATATATTTTGTTATTTTACAAGATAATATTTATTACTATATCGCGTTTCCGAGCACCGACGTCTTGTGTACAAAGCTAAGTAATTCCACATTACGCGTCATAACTGTGTAAGTACTAAGTACTCTTGAGTTTTGAGGAGGATAATATGGATTGTAGGTACTTAGGTGTATAGGCAATATTTTTTCCTAGCTATTGACTGCGTTAAACAGCCGTAAAATCTACCCGAGGATACCATAATAACACTCTTTCTGCAGTGGCACTGCGGCAGTCTGCAGCCAAATCTAAGATATGACAAGTACCTACCTACATAATATTATTGTAATATAATAACTATTATAATAGTATCGTAATGTGTGAAAATCGGATTTTTCTGCAAACGATGTACGAAATTATAGAAATGCCGATACAGAGAGACAGAATCGACTTAAGGGACTTGGTGCTCGGCTCCCGTTTAAATATAACAGCGGCACGAAGTGCAGGTCGGAGACGCTATGCCTAAGTATCGTCCACTCGGAGTGCGTAAAACCGGGCTGCACTAAAATTAACATATTACACCGCGGTGGCGGCGGCGTTGTATTTACGACCGTACCTATATAAAAATATAATACCTGGAGAGCGGCGGTAATATCGCCGAAATTTATTCTAAGTCACGTACCGGACCCGTTCGCGCGCGCTTTTGCCCCACGAATATAATAATAATATAATGTGTAAAATATCGCCTTAGCACGAGGATCGGCGGCACCAATGAAACGGTATAACATTATAAGTAAAGTCGGTTCATATTATTATTATTATTATCATACAAACAGACCGCCGCCGACACGTCGTCGTATAACGACTATATGTAGGTATATTATTATTATTACTAAACCGACTGCAACTGCCGATCGAGCTCTACCGATCGTATATATGATGTACGCGATGTTATGTATTATATTATTATTATTATAATAAATGTATCACATATTATATTATATTATTATTGTTTATTATTATGTTCGTGTGCGCGCGTGTGTGAGATCCACTAAAAGCTATTATTTTACGACAGTGCCACGCCCCGACCCACCCGCTTCGCCTTTTCGATTGTCCTCTAGCCATTACATAGGTACTATATGTTAGTATATTATAGTAACATAATGTGAAATCATCTCCCAGTTACCGGTTTTTTTTTAAAAAAAATATAATTTTTTCGATCTCAGTCCGTTTTTAATAGGTACACACGGATTTGTAACATTTTTCCTTTCCTCATCATAAATTTGAAGTCGACGAAATGTGTGCATAACATATTATAATATCTTAAATTATACCTATTGGTTGTTATATATTTTCATTCCTTAATGTACCCATATATTATGTACTCGACACGCGCGTCGTCACTCAATGTAAAACGCTGTTTTTCGCTATAGTAATCCTCTGCACATGATATTTTACGAATTATATCAGATCAATGGGTAGTACGGGGTTTTTATTACGATGGAGATTGGAGATATTTATATCAGTTATAATAGCACCGAGTACATGTAACGCATCACTCATACCCAGGGCCTTATTACCGCTTAGGCTGTGTAGGCTAAAGCCTAGGGCGGAAAATTTTAAAGGGCGGCAGAATTTTTTTTGGTGTGACCCAAAAACTATGTTGAGATATTAGTAAAATATCAATACCTATGTAAATTAGGTGGTAAATTTATTTCAGCCTATGTGCGGCAAAAACCTTAATCCGGCCCTGCTCATACCGAAATATTTAAACTTAAATAGTTATTGCTAGTTAAATATTTTACCAACTACGAATACCACATAGACAGAGTCGTGCCGTATACCTAAGTTGTATACTAGTATAACCCCATAACACCGTCTGAAAATAAGTCACCGAATACATCTGATTAGAGGATCGATAAAAAAAAATAAAGTCCTTATAGAACACGAATAGATTTATGAACATTACAATAAATTACTGATAAGAGTTTCGCTTTTTACTTTTTGGAAAAGATTGTGAACATACCTATTGGTTACTGCAAGGAGATTTGCATAAAAACGTATGTTATACATTATACTAATTTCACGATTGACATATGCAATAATTGTATTTATCTCTATATTCGTCGTATCACCTAAATTACAGTACTTAAGCCCTTAATGTAATTATACTTATTTTAAAATTTGGATTAATTCATAACTATAATGTTATTATATAGGTCACCTGCTGCTATTTATATTGATATGTAAAAAAATAACATAGAAGTAATTTAGTAGGTAAAATATTGTTAATTTGTAAGTATTGACTAAAAATATATTGATAATTTATCACTGAAAGAAAAATATAAAAGCCGTATATAATAATTGCATAATGTATTTGATAATATTTTTCTTTCATTGTGAAGTTAAATGATTAACATTTGATTTATTTTAAATCATTTTTTTCACCTATATTATTTCGATAGTTATTTATAAATATTAAACATTTAATAATTTGTGTGTACTTTTATATGGTACTTCAAATTTTACTTAATATTGATTACAAATAATAACAGACCAAAATAATATGTAAGTTAAATTATGCGGGAACTGAAGAGTGTGGGAAAATTAGATAAACTCTTTTGAGTATATTATGTTTTTATATTATTCGGGGACAAATACTTACAAAACTACTCAGATATAGGTCGTATGTTAATATTATAGAAAAGTTACATAATATGGTACTAAAATTATAATTATATTATCACCATGAGACTGTAATACCCGACCACGTCAATAAAATTACTTGATCGTATAATATATATATAGTTTTGGTCACTTAACTCTCTGTACATAAAATTATGAGTTTTGTAGTATTTACGTATCGTTTTAATTGTAAATATTAAATTAACGAGGCTTGTGTTCAATGAGGGAATAAGTGATTTCCTCCCCAAATCGTTTAGTCCGCCCTCCTACGAACAAATTAAAATCAAATGAACGGCATTTGTTAGCTTTAGGATAATGATATAAAATAAGTTAGAATCAGTTTATTGTAAAACGACCCACTATAAATATTTTAATGATTCGACTTCAAATATTGTGATAAATTGTAAATAAATAATTTTTATAGGCGGATTGTAATTTCTAGTGTGAGTTAACAGCAAAGTACACTTTTTGTAAAAATTTGGGACAAATTATTCGCTTACATAAAAATAATGTTAAAACCTAATGGTTTTTTTGTATCCTAAAATCGTTATTTTTTCATAATAATTTCAGCTTTATCAATTGGTATAAAATATATCTGTCTTTTTAATTATTTATTATATCTTGTAAATGTGATCTAATACTAAATATTTTGAAATAATATTTGTTCTCATAACTTTGCATCTATAATTCCGGTTATGATTTTTGCATACCTACTCAAATTGTAAACATAATATTAATGATGAAAAATTGTAGAAATTTGTATTTTAATGTATACAACTTAAAATACACCACGACCACCACATGGGAGGGGGGGTCACCACATATACCCCATGAACATCCGATGTCAAATAAAAATAATAATGATTGTGATACCTATGTATAATATTAAGTGGTTATACGTTTGTAGGTTTCTTACGTATACACATTTGTGCGACCATAACAATGATTTAATATACTGACCCAGGAAAAGCGGACCTGAGGGCTGCCGGATTGCACCAGGCGGCCGGTAGCAACGAGCACCAGGGCGGCATGATGGCCGGACACCACGCGAGCAGCGACGGCGGTATCCTCGGGTGGTGGTGATGGTGATGGTGCAGCAGCACCTCTTCCGTGGGTTTCGGGCTTTCACTGTCCGACATGGCGAGCGCGGTCGCGTGCAAAATATTTTCGCGCGAGTCGCACTTGTGATATAAACGTATATAATATTAAAATATACGAAAAAAAATAGTTAATATTATGTAATTGTAGTGAATCGGGGCCGAGTCGCACGTGCCCAGTGATCCGAGGGCGAGGACGATCTCGCGGTTTATATTATTAAAATAAAAATCGTATTATTAGAAAAAAAGTCTTATCCGTGGGCGATTTTTATCATGTATATGAAATCGATTTAAAAACAATATTATTATAACCCGCACTCGCGTACATAGATCACGTTTGAGGTGGTTATGTGCTATATAGTAATAGTAATAATAATAATAGTTATAATAATCGAACACGACGTTCGCAGGCGAGAGCTGTCGATGAGAATCGGAGAGAGACGCGGTCTTCACGTCGGACACTCGAAACGCGATGAGGGTCGTCGGTGCAGTGGTCGTCGACGAGCAACCCACTTGAACGAGAGTCGACTGCGGCTGTTTCTGGTGCTGCTGTTGCCTTAGCCGCGACCCCGTCGGCAGATCGGTGTTGGCCGGGAGGGCGCGAAAAACTCGGCGAAGGGGGAGTGGCCCGGGGCGGTGATTGGACGGCAGGCGTGGTCGTGATGGAAGGGGGTAGAAAGTGACGGTGGCGGCGCGCGCGCCCTTAAAAACCGTTGTCCGTCGACAGCTACCGGCCGCGTCGGATACAATATCATCGCATTATTATTATTATTATTATTATTATTATTATTATTATTATTATTACTATATATATATGTATGTATGTGTGTGTGTGTATAGAGATCGATTCCGGCGTCAGTTGGCTGTTAAGTATAGTGTCAAATAATTATAATGCATACAGGGCCATCCATTTTACGTAAGAGACTACACTTATATAATTTCATAAAACATAATCGTTTTCGAAAATATTTCTTTTACGTAATTTTAAAACTTTACAACACCACATTGTTTTGTAAGATTTATTTTTTTTTTAAATGTTTATGGTAGTTATTTTTTACATTTTTTTCTAGACTTTTTAATAACATAAAATTATAGGTACATCTCATTTCATATTCTAAAACAAAATGTTATTTGGTGTTTTTGATTTGTAAAAATCAAATTTAGGACTAGCAGTTTATTAGTTATAACTTTTAACTTTGTAAGTGTTTCAATATTAAGCAAAACAGTGGGCTAATTTTTTTCAGAGTATCTTTACTTCCATACCACTCCATATCACATATCTAAACTTCAAATACTTATAACTCGTAAACTACTAGACCGAAATTCGATTTTTGACCGTCGAGTATTCCTTAGAATAATTAATTCAAAATTAATGGTGTCACTAAAAAGAGTAAAAGATGAAATAATTAGAACAATAAAAAATAGTAATAAATATCATTTTTAATGCCTTAAAATTTTACAAAACAATTATTTTTAAACGTTATTAGTTTTTAAAATAATGAGTGTATGTCGTTAAATAGATCACCCAGCGTATTATATCTGTATAATGAGTTATAACAAAACTGCAGACTGCGCGTTATTATGTATATTATATTTATAAACTATTATAGTTTTAGATATTTAGTCGATCTAATAATGATTTACATAAATATTTTTTTATTAAAGTTTTAATAATTGTTTACACAATTCGTATTAATTTACAATGATTGTATGTGAAATGAACCAAATAATAATGGAATTTATTTAATTTTAACATTTGATTTGTATAAATATAAGTATAGTTTTTCTTTATAACACATAGATACGGTAAATAGTTACATGACTTCCAATATTTACAAACTACAATTTTCAGATTTAATTTATTTATTACCATATCTTTTTTGGATATTTTCATTCATAGTCAGCTGGTTAAAGGGTTCAATAATTACTATCGGTATCATATTATATACTCGTATGAATTAAATTAAATATCAAATTTTTACTGTTAAAAAAAAAATACAACTCGTATTCATAGAGGTATTATAGTAAAACAGTATTAATTTACCACTTAATTTTGTATACAACACTAATTTAACTTATATATATATAAATAATATGTACACCCACTTATTATACTATATTATAATATATTATTATCATCTATAAAATTTACGTTTTTAAATATACACGCATAACTACCAATCGCACAGATTATTACTCGTATTCTAAATGTATATATTATTATATCGACTATAAATATTATACTAAAGGTTATAACAACATGTTGTAGATAACACCTGTATACAAAGATTTTCTCTTTTTGTGGTCAATACTGTCTTTTGAAGATTAATATAGCCAGAGTAATTGTTTCATCAATTTATTTTTACTGGCTCCGTCCTATCTTAAATTAAGTCGTACGAAATACATTTTATTATTGAGTCTCTATACCTTCCTATGTGCTAACGTCTTATTGAAACTTTAAACATGTGTCTTAAAAAAACTTTAATCTATGCTTGCTTAAAATATTATGCGAGTTAATTCTTGTATACAGTAGATAATATTGTAATACTGTTTATATGCTGGATATAGATAATGTATATTATTATGCTTAAGGCTCGTCAAAAGTTATATATCTTAACGAATGTAAATAATAATGTTTGAAAACCAATATTTAAAGGTAGAGAATTATTATTATGTACATTAATCGGTTTTATTTAGTGTATATGATTAGTGGGTAATAGTGACGAGTAAGTTTATTTTATACGTTTATTGAATTTCAAAGTGCCAATATGGCAATATATATATATTATTTTGTAATTTGTATACTATTATATGGGTTTAATGCGAGTGGCAAACACACAATAAATTATTGAAAACCTTGTTGTACAAGTGCAATATAAGTGCCATACGTATTAGGTAGGTACTAACCGAAAACCATTAAATTTAAAAAAGTTCTATTAAAAATATTTCGTTTGAACAAAATTATTGAACACTTATAGGTGGTATTATACATCATGTAGATTCATCATTTTACCGCGTGTATACACATACAAGGCTGGTCAAGTTTACTAATATTTTAACTCTTTGAGCTAAGTATTAATACGTACTAATACGTACTACCTAGGTATATAGAAAAATAAAAGTTATTTTTTAAGTTTAAAATTAATTTTCTTTCTTTTTAACTTGGTAAAGTTCATAGTTAAACATAGAAAGGAAAATAAAGAGAAAAATAGTAACTTATACTTAAGTACTAAAAATTAGTTAGATTGATTTTTATTATTCAATATTAATAAATAATAATCCATGCTTGTGGTCAGCAATAATCAAATCTGATAAAAATTATATACATTTTTAGGAAAATAATCAACATTACGTGACTATAAAATAAAATAATCAATTTTGTAACTATACACACTATTATATTATAACGAGAACAATTTTAACACAAATCAAAAGTTACTTAAAAAAAAAACCCAGGACTTAGTTAAAAGTATCTTAACTTATACTTTTTTAACTATTGTTAACACCGAGCCTTGTAAACATGTACCTACGATTTATTATAATATTCACTTTTGTAATGAAAAGTATATTGTGTAATGTTAAGCAGCCGATACGTGTGCTGCGTGCACCTCTCGTTTTCACAAGTGGTTGTTTTACCGCATACTATAATAATATGAAGAGCGAGCTAATAATATTGTGTAATAGAATTAAGAATAGGTATACCTATTTCTCTAGAGTCTCTCCAAAATGAAACGATGGCGATGAGTGTCTAACATTGATTTGTTCCGGTGAATTCCGAACACGATGGACGTCAACAGCCCCTCGAACCCGTTCGCATGTGCTCACAGACGAGTATATTATAAAAATAAATATATACATAAAATATTCGTTATATTGCGTGTGCGTGTCGAGAGACCCATAAAAATATAATAATAATAATGGTAACGAAAAACTCCGTTTGAGGACTCCACGACATCACCAATAAGCTTTTTTTTTGTAGTCAGATGATGCTTAAAATATAATATTATAATATGCGTCTACATGCTATTTTTAACAGTATAGCATTATTAGAATGTCTGTTACTGTGATTGAAAAAACGCATATCACCCGTGGCAAATGAAATAACAAACCGAAATCGGTGTAACTCTCTAACGTACTCTAACTTTACTCGATACGAACACGCCCCGTCTTAATGACCACGTGGTATAGGTCTTGACCAAGGGCTGACTGCCTAAGGTGGTGGGTGGGCGATTCCCGCCTGTGCCAGTGAAAATTCGAACTGATTGAAGAAATTTGGCCAGATAACTTATACAACTTTTAATAATTACTGTATTCCGTAACTAAATAATTATAAGAAAAACGGAATATAAATACCAAATGAAGTGTTGAAGAAAAAAAATCAATTTTTGAATTTTAATATTAACTCAAAATTTGGGCTAAATTTAGGACCATTACATTGTAACATATTAGGTGCACAATGTGATCCATCTAACGTGTTTCGCTCGTTCTCTTATATAGGTCAATTTTTGTGATATTAAACGAAACGCTATTGTTTTTGTAAATAATTTAAGTACCCAGGTAATATTAAACAAGCACTTGTGACATTAGATGCCTATTATAGTTCATTATTTATTTATTTTATAATATTATTATGGTGACCTAAATATGACAATATACTTCGGTTGCAGAAGTAGAATATTTTTCAGAACAATTTTACGTGTGTGAGTTATAACAAAATAAGAACATAAAGCTATTATGACAATTTGATGTCCATTACTTATTCTCATATATAGGTCGTCATTTCGTGGCAGCAATGACTTATAACTGCAAATTCCTTCGTATAATATTATACCACCAACTCGTGCAGTGCAAAATTGACGTAACTGAGCATTGTAAAAGGGCACAATATTTTCATGTTATTTCTGGGAAAAGGTATAGACAGCTACTGTTGCAGGGTGTTCGACGATCAAACAAATCACCGTAATTATTTCTCAATATATTATGTTCTTTTTTGTGTGGACCTACCGTGTGTACACCACAGGATCAACTGATCGGCAAAATGCGTCTACGACAATGATGCGAATGTGCTTTAGAGCTCGTGGTTTTCTACATAGTAATTTGTAAATTAGGTATATAATATTACATATTACATGATTATATTTTTATTATTTTGTACCTTCAGGGTGTCTTTTATTTTAAAAACAATTACTGTTATGACCATCGAGACTATTCCGGGTGTAACCAAAATTTCACTTATTGGATCGAGGTATATATATATATGAATATGAGAGAAATATTATAACAAGGATTCATAAGTTTGGTATGCTGATGCCGTTAGTATATCTATGTGACATTTTAGACTTTTTCAGCAACTTTTACTTTAATATTACAATTATTCTAATACATGGATACTTCAAGCAGTAATTATTTTATTACGTTATACGTTCATAATATACCGAAAGATGAAAATTTTCTAGAAATTACAGAGAAAGTTGCAGCCATTATTCCGAAATCTCGTTAATTTTCTGATACTTTCTTACAGACAACATTTCCTC